TTCTGATTATTATAAAGCTCCTCTACCAGAAATCGTTTTTGTCCACTCTTGAATCCAGCACCTTGAACAGAGGTAGCACACGCAGGCTCTGAGATGTATTAGTTGGATGAATGAAGGTAAGAAGAGCTACCTCTTAGGTAGAAAAGTAAATGAGGTAAGTACTTCGTAAGTGTTAATGCATAATCGCATGTTAATGATTTAAATTAATATTCTATATCCATGGTTATTCATTGGAAGTAATTTTTAGATGGAAACTTCAGGAAGGAAGGAGAAATTCTAGTTAAAAGGGATGATGAAGGAATATATGGTTTTGCAAGTCAGCCTCAGGCAAGGTAAAGACGTGGAAACACCCTGAAGTTTGGTCCCTTTTACCAACTTCCAGGCCTGCCGGGGGGACAGCACGCGGGAGGGAAGGACGGGGAGGACACGGGCACTGTGTCAGTGGGCCATGGAGTCTGCAGTCTGTGAACTCGGGGCTCACGGACCGCTGTGTGCTCATGTCCACTGCGGGGATCTCTAGAAGTTCTTAGTTTCTAGGGCAAGAGTCAGGGGTTTCAGGATTTGCTCATCTCTAAGGTTAAATGTGCATAACCTAGAGCGAGAACCACCCCCAGCCCAGTGACAGGCTGCCTGTGTGTTCACAGACTCTTGGATGGAACTCGTTGCTGTCAAAGTGAAACCCTCACCCTGGGTACAGCACCACAGCGAGTGTCCCGATTATGCTGCTTTGTGCCCCACACATAGTCATGTTACATAGGTTGGAGTAAAATAAATTCACCTACATCTAGATGGTTTTTAATTTTAAATCATATTTTAAAGTGCAAATGGAATTGTTTAAAAAAAAACTTTTTTTCTTTATTGATTTTAGAGAAAGAAAGAGAGAGGGAGAGAGAGATAGAAATATTGATGAGAGAAAACATCAATGCTGGCTGCTTCCTTCATGCCCTCACTGGGGATCAGGCCCACAACCTGGGCATGTGCCCTGACCGGGAATCGAACTGGCAACCTCTTGGTGCAGGGTCAACGCTCAACCACTGAGCCACACCAGCTGGACAAGTACAAATGCAGTTGTAAAGAGGCACTCTATTTCTTGAAGTTATAAAGGACACAGAGTTCTCAAAAGTCTTTGTATACAGATGTAGCTACTGGATTAGCTGGTATAGGCACGGTCTATGAATAAAATTCCTTTGTAAATCATAGTGCCTTTGCATTTTGTAACACAAAGTTGATTTTTATGGATTTTACCCTCGACTTCACTCACTGACGTCCTCTGCTCCTGTTCCCCAGTCTGGGGACAGAGGCCCAGAGGTGGCACAATGCTACTTCTCCCGTCGCTGGTGAACGCAATGCGCGGAGACGCAGACAGACATTGTGTCTGATACCTACGTGTCATCACCCAACACTTTCCCAACCTTTCCCGCCTCAGAGCAGCACTAGGGGCGATGTCTGTGATACCAGCCTCAGCTACTGTGCACAGTTCAGAATGTGCCCACACGCAGTTCGGACTTTGCTGCTGCACTGCTGCAGCTGTGGCCAGGACTTCGGGTCTGTGACGGTCCTTGAAAGGCTGGCTCTCATTCCTCTCCGTTCTTCCACAGTGGCGACCTCAGACTGCATACTAGAGTGCGGAATATATGTGTACATGCGCACACATGGATACATATGTATACAACATGTGCATACCTTATGAAATAAAAAGTAAATAGAAAATTTCAAACCCTAAGGAAAAAAAGTGAGGAAAGGTATGAGAAGGGAAGAGAATTAAAATTCATTAGGCTCTTCCTAAGAACCAGGCACCTGGGAAAGAAGGCGAGGGTGGGGGTGGGGGGTGCAATTATCTGGATGCTGAAGAGTAAGCTCGTGAAACCCCTTCGTGAAAGGAGAGTGCTGTGACAGCGGATGCTGGCAGGCGTCAGGGAGCACGTGCCAGGTCGTGCCGAGGGAGCGGAGGGCTGTGGGCCCCGCATGGGCTTGGTCTGCCCTGGGTGCTGGGCTGCTGACTCACCAGGAGCTGAGTTATCTTTGAAGTTCTGCTGAGCAGTCTAGAGAGCAAGACTTAAAACTGCAATTCCCTAAACAGAGTTCAACTTTCCAGAATACAAGTGCTCAGAGAAGCACACGAGGTCAGAAAGAACAGCCCAACGCATTTCTCCCTCTAAACCCTAGAGAATGCTAAGTCTCCTAATTCAAAGGATCCTTCAAGGCTTTAGGCATCAGTATCAGCTATTTGTTCACTTTAATTTTTAACCAAGGGTACTTAAAATTTCTGAGGTTGCATCTTTGTGGTCCCTCTGATGGGCACAGGTGTAGGAGACCTTAAGAATTTCTGGGTAGGTGGGAGGTAGAGTCAGGTCCAGATGAGCTTGGGATACAACAACAAAGAGAGCTTTAAGTATCTTCAAAAACTACTATTTAGGAATGTCTAGCCAATTACAGTTTTTGCTTTCTGCACTCCTGCTACCCCAATATCATATCAGATATCTTCAGCATAATTGGACTTATTAGATAATCTTCTCTACCTCAATTTGCATTTTGGGTAGATTGTAAGCATTTCACACAATTCTTTATCATTCCCTACATCTGTGCTTCTTGGCATATAACTCTGCAGTGTTCTCTCATGTGGGTTGGTGACCTGCTCAGCCTCTTGATCTTGGGCTCACCATGGGATTTTCTGTGGCCAATAGGATGTTTGGGAAAAGGGATGCAGGCAGGGGCTTGAAATGGACTTGCCCATTGTGGTTTGCTCCTCTGCCACGAGAGGAACAACAGACATGTGGCACTGGCTGTGTGTCCTAGACGCCAGCCAGGTGGGCAAGCATGGCCGCCCAGCTCGACCTACCTCTGCAGATGTGTGACAAATGAATGTTTATTGTTGGATGCCACTGGCGTTGTATGGTTGCTTGTCACACAGCAAAAGCTCATGGATACAAATGCCATTTGATTCATGCTCCTCTTGTCTGTCAGGGTGCTATTTCTAAAACGGAAATCCAGTTACTAAAGTTACCCTGCCTAAGACACTTTAAAGACTTCCTGTTATTGGGCTGAATGGTGTCCTCCCCAAATTTCTGTGCTGAAGTCCTAACCATCAGTACTCTGGAATGTGACCTTACTTGAAAACAGAGTCATTAAAAATGTAATTAGTTGAGTTAAAATGAAGTCCTACTGGAGTAGGGTGGACCCCTAATCTAATATGAATGGTGTCCTTATGAAAAGGGGAAATTTACCCTGGGTGGGTAGCTCAGTTGGTCAGTGCGTCTGCCCAATATGCCAACGTTGTGGGTTTGATCCCCGGTCAGGGCAATAAATCTCTCTCCCTCTCTCTCTAAAAATCAATACAATTTTTTTTTTTTAAAAAAACGGGGAAATTTGGAGACAGACATTCTCACAGGGAGAATGCCATGAGAGCATAAAGGCAGATGTCAGGACGCTGTGTCTACAGATGGAGAACACAGAAGATTACCAGAAAACCCCAGCAGTAGGAGAGTGAAGGAACAGATTCTCCCTCACGGCCCTCGGAAGGAACTAACTCTCCCGACACCTTGGTGCCAGACCTCTGGCTCCAACATTGTAAGATGATGAATTCTGCTGCTTAAGCACCCCCATTACCTTTAGGGTACAGTGCAACCTCCTTCCCAGGCATGGAAGTCTTTTCTTTCTTTTCTGTTTTTAAACTAAAGTACAGTTGACAAACAATATTATATTCGTTTCAGACGTACAATATATAGTGATTCAACATTTGTATACCTTATGTTGTGATTGCCACACTAAGTCTAGTATTCATCTCTCACTTTGCAAAGCTATCACAACGTTCTTTACTACATTCTTCTTCACCATTTCACCCCCCCACCGAGCCCCCTGTTAACCATTAGTTCGATCTCTGTTTATATTGTCTGCTTTTGTTTGTTTGCTTATTTGTTTGATTATTAAAATTCTAAATATAAGTGAAATCATGTGCTACTTGTCTGACTTATTTCATTTAGTATATTATCCTCTAGGTCCATCCATGTTGTCACAAATGGCAAGACTTTAGTTTTATTTTTTATTGCTGAGTAATATTCCACTGGGGATTCCTTCGTAAGCTGGTCTCTGGCTATATGTATGGTTTCATCCGTCGCTACGTCTGGCAGCATCAGCCTTACCCCATTCTCTAGCCACACAGAACTACTCACAGTGCTTCAACCAACTGCTTTAGAGCCGTTGTTCATCCTATAACTTTAGACTCAAATGCCCTTCCAATGCCCCACTAGATCCCCCATGATTGCCTAATTAATTTTTACTTGTATGTCAAGCTCCACATCGGGCACATCATTCTGGAAACCTTCTCTTCCCAAAACCAGTCCTAACGACCGGAGGATGCCCTATTGAATGTGCCCCAAACACCCTCTGTATTTCCATCACAGCTCATTACACATCCTTATCTTTATCAACCGACTTGATGACAAGCCCGAAGGCAGGGTCGCATGCTGTCTTTCCATTCCCAGTACCTAGCACAGCGCTCGGCGCAGAGGGGCCGTTGGTGGCAGGACCGTGGGTGCTTGTGCACAGGTATCCATGCAGACATGTTCTTGGCATGTGGGAGGTACATCCCCTTGTGTGACACGGGCAACGGAGTTTACTTGGAAGCAAAAGGACCCCGTTAAAGACCAAACATTGCTTCCTAACTCCTCCATTTCTCTCTCTGCCCAGTCTCACAGTCTTTATAACGCTTCAGATGTAAGCGACTGAGTGATGACTGGCCGGGGCCTTCCATCTTCAAGACTGACAGCCGAGGTCCACATCTCTTAGGAGGGAGGGACTATTATAACTCTATTTTTGCTTACCAAGAGAATTGTTAATGGTTACTCTGGAGGAAAAAAATCTATAAATATCCAAACATTAATGAAGCCTGAAGCACCCTTCCTTCCCTGACGAATGAAACGCCTTCGGAGCCCACCGCCACACTGCTGCGCAACTGTGACCCGGGAGAGGACGCAGAGCCTGGCGGGAAGATTTTCGCTTACCTGCTTAGTCCTCATTTTGGAATCCACCGACAGGTTGTTGTAGGTGTAATGTGCCTGTGTGACTCCACAGAAGAGAACAGCAACTATGCCTGAAATTCAAAAACATACCAGTTAAAACCAATTTTCTTTCTCCTCCGTGCCCTGTCCTAGCTAGAAGAAGGGGAACTCGGTGTCAGCAGACTCAAAACGGCTGTAATGACTATGATAATGAAATCGGGTAAACCTCCCACTTGCTTTCAACAGGGGCACGATCAAAGCTAAAGAAAAAAACTAAAGACTTAAATTATTAAGAAATCGATTCTTCCTGAGAATTAATGACCCCCTGGTCATAAATTAGGAAAGTTGAACGTGGGAAACAATGAAGAGAAGACTGGATGGTCAGCTCTGGACGTGTCCTAGCCAGTGCCCACCGCTGTGCTGGAGTTTGTACTGAATGTTGCCATATTCGCCCAGACGAGTCCTTTCCACTGGGTGCTTTGAGGGATGTGAAGAAGTTCCTGTCATCATAATTTAGTGCTAAAAACATGAGTCACACACATAAGAAATCTACAAGGGTTCTGTTGCCCCTGCCAATGACCTTACTTTCCAAGCGAGAAAGAGAGAGGTCCTTATTTGACCCTATTACACCCGATTAAAATGTCGCATGACACTATGCGTCGCAGGGTGCTCCCTGGGGACAGAGGGTAGCACCACGGGACACTGGGCTCTGTGCTGTGGCATTCTCTGTGTCGCCGCTGGGCTGGGCTGGGAAAGTGATGGGCTGCACTCTACTTTGGATGAAATATTCTGTGAATTATGAGAACTTGGGCACAGGAGAGGGCTTGGGGAAAAACACAAGATGTTAAGTATTCCTCAACTCAGACTAAGGGGATTGAATTGAATTTTAAGCAGCAGAATCTTTTCAACTAAAAACACTCATAAATTAAATGTTGATGATTCTTAAGAGTACAGAGATATGTGAGCAGAACACTGACATTTCAAACGAGTCTGCAATAAAGAATTTTAAAGAACCAAGTATATTTTTCATATGTAGACTTTATGCTTCTATTTATATGTTAGTTATTTTGGGGATTGGCTTTGGATAAAATATTGCTAAGACATATTTACCTAACACAAGTGTCTAGATATTTATATTGCTTATGTATATCTTTTTAATACTGTGTTTCAAAATTTTAGGCAAAAATGAAAGCAATGAGAACATTTTGCCAAGAACGATATAAGCAGTATGCATTTCTATAGGTTTTTGGGTAACATCTCAGTTTCTTAGCTTCTCTTCTCTTCTAAGGGAAAAAAAATGCTTATAAAATGTTGTATTCTACCCTTCACAGAGTTTCTGTTAAAAGACAGCCAACACCAGGGAAACGTTAGGGTACTGTGGCTCTTCAGTGCTTTGAGGTGCTAGGACTGCCACTCATGCTGTTTTGCCATCAAATCCTTTCCTCGCTTGGTTTAAGCACGTGACGCACCTCTCTGTGCGGGGTCTGAAGCCCGCTGGATTCTTCTGTGGGGGAAGCACTCGGACTGCATTGCTGGGCAGAGGTGGTGGTAAGGAGGTGGGTGTGGGCAGGAGTGTGCAGATGCACGCTGAGAACAAGGGGTCACACAGGAGTGTCCCCAGGATAGAGCGAGGGACTGGGGTTGGCTGATCGCCCCCTGGTGGCCAAGGCCGCACTAGTTTTATTCACATCATCTTATTTGTCTCCCTGACTGACTGACAGCAGGCTGAGCACCACAACAGGAGCTGGCCCCTCCCACCGTCTTCCCTTCTCAGGAATAGCATCTCATCCTTCCTGCTCCTCCAGGCTGGAATTTGGGCGTTACCATTTCCTTCCCCTCTTTCTGTACATCAATGATGTCGTTGGCTTGTCCTTCAAAACTTACCCGGAACCTAAGCCACTTCTCAACACCGCCACGCCTAACCCCTTCAGGCCACCACCTTCTGTGTGGACTACAGCAGCACATTCCTGATTGGTCCCCCTGTTTCCCCTGCTGGGCCCCACAGTATAAGTCTTCCATCCAGCAATAGCTCAGATCGCGTCAGTCCTTGGCTCCATTATTTGTAATGGCCCACCATGGATAAAAGTCCCCGCAGGATGGGCCTGGACCCTCTCCCCTTCCCACGGGAGTCTGACCTCACTGCTGTCGTGCCCCGCGCTGGCCGTACTCTCCTCACTAGGCACGTCCCCTGCAGACCCGCTGCTTCTGGTTCCCACTGCCCGGAAAACCCTTCCCCGACACCCACCCGGCCCCCCTCTTCCCTCGAGACGGCACAGTCCGGCAGGCCTGCTCTGCACGCTGTCACGTCGCTCCTTCTCGTCGCTCTCCGCCTGTCTGTTTTGCTTTATTTTCATTTCATATTATTTACTGCCACCTCACATTTTACAGGTGTGTGTGTGTGTGTGTGTGTGTGTGTGCGCACAGCCCCTGGGTGCAGAGGGAGCCCTCCGTCCCTGACTCAGGGAGCCGGGCCTGCACACGGCAGGACTCAGCAAGCGTTTGTTGAACACGTAAATAAACATGTCTATTCCCATACAGCAAATAACAAACTAAAGTAATTTCTTCAAGGTCACCTTGAAAGTGGCAGAGCTGAGACTCAAAACTCCACCAGCCCCCTGGGCTTTTCTGCCCGCCTTAGACCATCTGTGAGTGTTTGGAGGTGAGCTTAGTCATCTGAGAGGAGCATTTCGGACGTCCTGGGCAAACAGGGTGGTGACGATGGAGCCGGCTTAGGTGAGCAGGCAGTTCGTGTTGCTGGGGGACATTCTCCCTGGCAGCTGCACTGGTGTCCCTGGCGCGGACAGGCAGGGTGTCTGCTGACCCTCTGGGTCCTGGATGGATTGTCACAGGAGCAGCGAACAGTGGAGACTGTGCCCAGGCGACCGGCGGCTTGGTGTTGTGATGGAAACAGAACAGCCAAGGTGGTCAGACCCTCAGTGTTAGCAACATGAACACAATCCTATACCTTGGTAATTATCTCACGCAAATTACTATAATTAGTATGAGTTTTATAAGCCAGAAGATAGTTTTAATATCTCATCTAAATACATCGATTACCTCTCCGATTTTCTGCCGCGTAAACAGTTGCAGAGGTGACAGTGTCCCACCCTACAGAAGCGCGTGCTGGCTGTCCCCGTATTGCAGGGGCGTGCCTGCGTGTGGGCCCCCAGGAGAGCCGCTCAGTGCCCCAGATCGCAGGCTCCCCGGTGTCCCCTGGGCCAGGCAGCAGTGTCTGAGCTTCAGAGCCCCTGTCCTGGGCTGGTCGGCGGCCCTGCGGCCGGGCCAGGCAGACACCTCTTCCTGTGCCAGAGCCTGTGGGCTGGGCTGTGGACCACGGGGCCGCCAGCAGCGCGGGCCAGCAAGGCCTGGCTGCTCCTGTCTGCCTGCGGCTCCTGCCGCTGCGTCTCCGAGTGGCTCTTCTCCAGAGCTTTGGCTGTCGGTTCCAGCCTCGCTTTCTGTTCTGTTCTGTTTCCTGCACTTCAGACCTGCCCTGTGGGAACCCCGAGAAAGCAGACAGTCAGGCAGTGCCCTCGGAGGTCTGAGTCCTAACTCCTCGGTTCCCACGTGGGAGCCTCCAGATTCTCTTCCCCTGGCCCCCAGCCTCAGGGCCACACACTTGCTCCTGCACATCTGCGTCTGCTTCGCCTCGGGACCACTCACTTCCTCTTCCAGCTGCACACAGCTGCGCCCCCAGCCGGCCAGTGCCCTCTTCCTGGCGGGGTCCTGACCAGAGCTTTCTGCGGGTCCCTTGCTGGTCCTCGGAAATGACTGGTGGTTTGTCATCGGACCTAAGATACGAGCCGCATCCTCTTGTTGTGATGGGGACAATGGGGGATGCCAAGTTCCAGGGCCTGGCTCAGTCTTGTTTCAGTAGCACCTGTGGTGATGGGGGTTGGAGCCACTGGACTGGAACACGAGCCCCGGGGTACCAGTTAGGCCTGGAACGACTGGAGGGGCATGACCCAGACCCCAACACGTGCCTTCTGACTCCCAGACACGAGATCTGTCCACAGTTGAGTACTGTCCCTCTTGAGTGTGCCTGAGGTGGGAGAAGCCCCATAGATTGCAGTGTTTGAGTCGAATGACTGACTGTCTGCTAGGCCTGTTGCAGAAAGGTTTCTTTTCATAGAGAAGTCTGGGTATCATCCAGTTCTGTGGGTCTGTCACTTTCCTACACGTCGTGATATTAATTCACCAGGATTAACACCTCAATTGGTCCTTTTTTAAGTTCAAGACAAGGAAATTATACTGGTTCCAAATGAAACCCTTAGTCATTCTGAATAGAGGCAGCCCAACATTCTCAAAAAGTAAAGACAAGATAAACTCACAGACGTTCAAATATTTCTTTCAGATTTTAGACAACCTTTCTAAGCTAATATTTTAAAAAATATTATTACCACCCCTTTCGATCATAAAATCTTCATTTTATTTTCAAGTTAAGTGGTGAGGTTTAAAGATTAACTCAGGAAGACTCCCCTGTGTGGAAAAGACATTTCTGTGTCTCTAGACACAGACTTTCACATGAAAGCACATTGGAAACTGAATTCTGATGACTGCGACCAAGTGACAGAGGCCGCTCACCTCAGAGGACCCCATTTCTGTCCTGCTCCTTGCTGCCCTTTCTCACCTGCCTGTCTGGCCTGCCTTGTCACCCTCAGGCTGTGCTTAATTTAAAGCAAACCCTACTGACTTTCCCATACACTGGAAGCCACTTAACTTTCTTGGAACCTCAACTGTGGCCCAAGAATCTACATTAAGCCAGACATGTATCAGAACTATACCAACGCCCGTGAGCTGCTAAGGTACAACCAGATCCCCTGGGAATCTCGTTAAAATGCAGATTCTGCTTCAGGAGCTTGGGAACAGAGCCCGAGATTGTGCATTTTGTTCTGTGGACATACCTGTGCTGGCTGGCCCCCGTGTTGAACTTTGAGAACAGACCTCTGCCCAACACTCTGGTATTGAGTATCAACTCACCTTTGCTATGGCTTGGTCTTGGCCTTGCATTGTCCTAAAAACAGGCTTTTGTCTTATTTTTACCCCTTTAGTATCTTGGGACAATTAGAAGACAGCCCCAGAGGATCAATACCTT